TTTGCTTTTCAAAGTACCGTCCATCAAACCGGATGCACTTTTTCATGCGCTCTTGCCACTTATCCAACATTGTTTTCCTGAATTCTTCCTCTGGGATGGAGTTGAAGAAGTTTTGAATTGCATTCTGGATTTCGGTCTTCGATACGAATCTTCGTCCGCGAAGCTCCTTTTTAAGCGTAGGAAACATCCAAAAATCACATGGAGCCAAGTCAGGGCTATAAGGGGGATGAGGGATTGTTTCAACTCCATTTTTACTCATAAATTCACGTGTTAAGCTCGATGTGTGAGGCCGCGCATTGTCTTGATGGAGTATCCACGAAGCTTTCAAGTCCGACCGTTTCCGGGAAATGTGCATTCTCAACTCCTTTAGTACTTTGCAATAATACGCACTGTCAACTGTTGTGTTTGATGGTACAAAATGTTGATAAATGACACCTCGAAAATAAAAAAACACAATAAGCATCACTTTATCGGCCGACTTTTCGATTTACGGCGATGAAGAATCTTCCTTAAAAACCGTAGGCGTAAACTTTCCTCGCTGATTTCAAATTGCCATAACTCGGTCAATTTTTATCCGATTGAGCTGATCTTGGTTTTAATCGATAGGTATTGAGTTGATCTTTAAAATGAAATCAAGATCATGTCTGTATCTATCTTACTTTCGAAGTTACAGAACAAGTCCCGGTGCTTTTGGGACACCTTATGTATACTTTACGCCGAAAAAGCGAACCTGAAACTTAAATGCGTTAACTTCCGAAAACCATATATAATCCAACGAAAATAAATAATTGGTACATAACAGCTTTCTTGTATGCAAAGAAAATAATTAAAAATGTTAAAAAAGAGATGTCAACACAAAATTACATAGCCCCTTCAATTCAGAAGATACTACAAACGAACTGTACCTTAACATTTTCATATCCCAGAAGCTAACGTTCCCATGACGAATATTGCTATCGCTAGCGATTGCAAAATCCAACTTGTTTTTGTTCAAAAAATAAATGAAGAAATAAATCCGAAGTTTTGCCTCACATTGCGAAGATCCCAGCGATATTCGACTGACTATGAGAAAGCTTGGATTATAAAACGCCAGGTAGAGCAGATCGCGGAGTGTAGAAGTTGAAAAGACGTGAGGCGATGGCCAGAAGAATTGATCCAGTCCCCTGGATCATTAAGCAGAGGCAGTGAAACTTGATGATGAGGTCCTTGGAGTGATATTCGGTAAGTTTTGAAGGTTAGGAACCCACTTGGCCCGAGGCCAGAGTCAACATGTCTATCTTGGAGCTGTCGTTTGGGATCTCTATTGCTTCATTCAGTTCTAAAAAATTGAACGGCAATAAGAATTCCATCCAACAACTCCTAGTGAGTTGCAAAAAAAAAAAAAAAAAAAAAAAAAAAAAAAAAAAAAAAAAAAAAAAACCATTCTACATCTTGGTAGCGCGGGCGGACGAAGTACGGAGAATGCGGATTTTCACTACATACTATAATTGCCCATTTTAAGCGGAGCAGAATTAATTAGATAGCATGAGGGAAACTGGCTGGGGGGGGGAGGGTTAGAGGGCAGTCGTCCTCTAAACTTTGATTAGAGGGACCCCGTGAGGGCAGTTAAGGTCCTTTTCAAGACACTCAAGCGAAACAGATGAAATTTCTTATCTGTTATGAACTTCTGCAAGAAATTTCAAGAAAAGGGCTTTACGTTTGTATGTGTCCGTATTCCGTTATATAATCGCAGAGTAGATTTGAGCGCGGCCAAATCGCCCGATGAAAAACGGTTTAAATGAACAGGGGGTTCAGTCATCGTTACGACAATTATCGTGGAAGGAAAGTGGTATCAATAATTGAAACATGAAAAATAGAGAAGTGAGTCGTAAGGGTTTGGAACTTGATTGATGAGTAAAAAGAGAAAGTTTAACGCAGTTACACATTTAACGTAGGGTAAATGAATCTGATAAACCATTTGTTCAACATTTGGTTCGATCATGACTCAATGGGCCTGTTGCAAACTTTTGCTATAGAGCAAAATTAAGAGTAGTTCCTTATAGATGATCGTCTCAAAAATCACGACGAGGGCATCGGCAAGCTCTGAAATGCACTCCTAACTTCACAATCTGCGTAAGAAATTTGCGTTTTTTTCAGCTTCCCGCTTCAAAAATGATACTACGGCACAGGTGAAAATTTCGTTAGAGGTGCTTCCGCGCGCAAGTTGGGGAGAGCACGAGGTCAATCAAGGCAGATATCTATAAACGCGAGAAAAATGTGAATGTGACCAGGCCGATTGTTATCAGGCTGTTAGAATCGTCGTCCCGTCACAAATTACCAAACTCATGTCTGATTTTGATGCCTGTTATATCTGGGATATCTGTGGGGATGAATGGATTCCCCTTAAGTTCTGCACTTTACGACTGTCTGCAAGGATGAACACAGGTGGTGAATTTTTGTGAACGCTATCAATTTCATTAATTTTCGTCCAGCGCGTGCCTGATACGATCCTGGCTAGACAAGAAGGGCTTACGCCGTAGTCAAAGAAAGAAGAAGAAGTGGAGTTCAAATACACGGCAACCGCGTCTACGTATACGCTGGAAAATAAACACATTGGATCTTGAGTCCAGACTCTTAAATACATCGAAAAGAAAAAGTACTCCTGGTTCAATCAGATTTAAGCTGAAATCAAGAACCCAGCTTCTTAATTTGAGCGGATTTCCTTTCGATTTAACCTTAAATCCGATTGAACCAAGAGGACTTTTTCTTGTCAATGTTTTCAAGAGTCTAGATCCAATGTGTTTTTTTTTCCATTGTACACGGAGAAAAAAACCTCGTGCGTGGGACCCGAAGATTAGGTCATATGGATCCCTGAAGTTTTCAGATTAAGCATCTGAACACTTTAGGTCTAGCTGTCGAGGTTCGGTTCACACAATTGAACCTTCAGTTCATACATCTGAAGTGCTTCAGTTGTGAGAACCGAAGTTTTTCGGTTGTGAGAACCGAAGTTTTTCGGATGTGAAAACCGAAGTACTTCAGATGTAAGAACTGAAGGTTCAGATGTAAGATCTGAACCTCGACAGCTAGACCTAAAGTGTTCAGATGCTTAATCTGAAAACTTCAGAGATCCATATGACCTAAACTTCGGATCCCATGCACGAAGTTTTTTCCTCCGTGTATAGTTTCGCACCGTCGATACCCTAACTCGACGAGAGCGTAACGAGGGCGATGAATGGTCAGGAAGAAACGTTGCACATTTTTCAAACGCATCGTAGCCGGTCGACGTCCAAGATCAAAACGGCCCGAGCGAGCTTCTGTGCTCCCGCGGAACCGGAAGTGAAGCTTGAGCGGGACGGCAACGCAAATCGGACGCAGGGCGGAAGGGCGACTCGCTCGCGCCGCGTCGGGGCAGGGGTTGCGCGGGGGGGGGGGGGGGGGGGGGTGCGCCTGATAAAATTAGCAATTTACATGCAGACAAGACTCGCCCGACCGAAATGTTGCCCCTTATCATATTTCATGACGTTAGTTTCCACCTAAAAACATGCGAGAGCGCACCGTTTCGGTTCCGACTTGGTTCCGCCCGAGTCTCGAGGACCCGCCGCACAGTGGGTGGAGCCAATTAGAGAGGTCGGACATGAAATTTTCAACAAAAGCTGCAAATTTTGGTGTTTCTTTTGTCGAATTTTAAATTTTGAGGGGTGCTTCTGCAAGAAAATTTTACGAAGAAACCAATGGAGCCACCTTTAGAACCTCAAAATTTTGTGTATACAGAGTTGAAAGCGTTTAAAATTTCCAAATTTTGTCCTACCTCTCCTATTGACTCGATCCATTGTGCGCCGGCCGCAGGGACTCGCTGAGGATTGGATTATGAAGCCAACAGCCGTGCATAAAAAGCGAGTTCCAACAGTCGACGAGGACGCCACGTTTCTCGGAACGGACGAGACTCCCACCATCAAAAGTGTTTGTCTAGACCTCGTCTAGATTGTCTAGTGTTCCATTGGGGTAATATCTACTGCAGTGGTGGGAGGCAGTGAAATGGCTTTTCATCCCCTTTTTAATCGGGATCGGTATGTCAATCAGTCAGTCAGTGGAAACTTCAATTGTTGGAGTTAAATATTTTAATTTAAAACTATGCGGTTTTCCTGGAGTATTTATGTGACCTTTGATTAGTTGAGATTTCTGCCATCAAGAGGCATAGAATTGTCAAAAGCCCTCTGTCATAATCGGAAGAAGCACATCAGAATTACGGATAAACATAATGGAATTTTGGATTTTATTGTTTAAAACTTTACATCCTGAAGTAAAATTATACTGTTACCACTTTGCTTTTTACTGACTCTTTTTCAGGCAGCCTGGCCCAAAGTTTCATCCGGACCCATTGTTGCTGCCATTTTGATTTTTCTGGAATGGCCTTATGACCGCAGTCTAGCTTAATGGGTCCGTATTGGACTGACAAGCATGTATTGCTACAAGGGTCAAAAAGGGGGTGGTCAAAAAAATCAGGGAATTGATGAATGGAAGAGCTCCTGGGCCAGGGAGCATTCCAGCCGAGTTAATTAAATGTGGGACTGGCAAGTTGGTTAACCATCTCAGGGATTTGCTGCAGAAGTGCATTGACGGTGATAACATCCCGGAAGAATGGACAGAGGCCTGGATAATAGCGTTGCATAAAAGAGGAAGGAAGGATGACTTTGGAAACTACGGAGGGTTAGCGGTGACAGGAAACATACAATTCAAAAGGCAAATGATGGAAATTTAGCCATGCTTTTCCCGAAAAATAACGCGATGCTTTCTTTGTTTTCGACGGCTTTTAGCCCGAAATTCGATTGAGATTTCCTATAATGAATGTTATTTTTTAACGAGATTTTTGATTGGTGTTTTACAGGCTCGCTTTGCGTGGCGTGGACGGAGGGGCTCTGGCCGGGGATGGAAGTCGGGGGCAGATAACGATGGGGTCCGGGGAGGCCTGGTCGTCGGCGGGGGCCTTGGGCTGGTTGGCGGGGCGGG